GAGGGGAAGCGGGGAGGAGGAGGGGAGGGGAGGGGAAGAACTTACCTTTAGGATTACTAATATCATCTGCTGAGCTGCCTATTTCACATTAGTCTTTATTATAGGTTCTAATTCTAGGTTGAATTTCCATTTACTACTTTAATATTTTAATCTTTCCGGTTTTTCAGGATGATAATCGTTTATTTTGAAATCCTTGCATGCCGATCCAATCCCAATGTGTATAGCATTTCTGGATCTGCTGAATTGATTTTTGTTGTCTTCTTGGTTAGGCATTACTTCTTTCTGCTTCTTTCCCTTCTGCTTCTTTACTTGTCTCATAATACTTTATTTCATGCCACATTTTAATTATAAAGCATTACAAAGGCATTATACTATTTTAGCTTTCTCCAAATAACACAAAAAATTTGGGAAGCAGTTTTATTACAGGAGATGAACTGGATCTTGTAGAAGCTTTTAAGCTTTCATTGGGAAGACCTAGTTCAGTTTTGCCTTCACTTGCGGATTGCATTTAACGTAACATTCCCCAGGTTCAACCATGTTGTTGCAAATGACATTATATCATTCACTGTTATGGCCAAATAGTACTCTATTATGTGTATATACCACATTTTCTGTTCCCTACATCCATTGACAGACTATGAAGTTGATTCCAGTTCTTGTGAATAATGCTGCAATAAACAAGAATAAAGTACATGTCTGTTCAAGACAGGGATATATAGTGGGATTGTGGAATCCGTGGCAGTTCTATTTTTAATATTTTAGGGAATCCCCAGACTGTTTTCCATAGTGACTACACTAATTACATTCATAAAACAACATGCAGGGATTCCCTTTTCTCCACATCCTTGGGCATATTTTTCTTTGGTCCTTTTAATAATAGCCTGTGTAACTGAAATGAAGTGATATTTAGATTTGGTTGCATTTAATAAATGTGTGAAAATATGTATATGCCTCACCTTCTTCTTTAACCAGTTTTTAAATCTCCATGTTATTATTGTGCCACTTTCACCTTAAAAGTATAAACTGGCTTTGAAAGGTCTACAGAGATAGACTTTTCTGTTTGTTTTTAAGAAGAAATCTTATAATCATCTGTGTTATGTTTAAATTTAATAAATGAGACTAGAGGGTAAACATGTATTATATAGATCTTGTACCATTGTAATTAGTTGATCATTAAGTATGAAAAATGCATACCAATAGCTGCTTCGTATTTGTTTGTTTGTTTGTTTTAGAATGCTTGCTTCTATGCTTACAGATGAATGATGTGACATGGGTGATAATCCTATGCTGTATAAGTAGATCATATTTTAAACTTAAACATTCGTGGCTAAGAATGATTTATTTATATGTAATACAACCTTATGATATTCTGGAAATCAGAAAAAACAACTGAAATGCAGTATGGAAATGTCATGTAAAATGCACTTGTAAGAAACAAAGTAGCCACCATTTCTTCCCTGGTCGGGCACCTCAGAATTTCAGGGAAACTGGTAGAAAAAGGCAGCATAGGCAATGCATTGTTCCCATGAGGAGGAGCCCCTACCCTCCTGGTGGAGGCACCTTGGTGTCAGTAAAACTTCAAAGATGTTTTTCTCTGTACTATTGCCAGGCCTCAGGCTAAATATTCAAATAGGAGTACACAAAGTAACCAAATAACAGCCAATGTCAACAGATGAGTTAAACTGAAAGGGTGATGGTATCTCTATCACAGTCAGAGCCTCCCTTGCTTTGAAATACTTATAATTTATGGAGTGCCACCATGTGTAGGCAGCGGGCTAAGTGTTCCATATTCAGAGAGAAAATGAAAAATGCTCTACATCGTGAAAATTGTCATCTGGTGGCGTAGATGGTCAACAGAAAAGACCACTGAAAGTGCAGCACGCTAGAGGAATTCACAGCTGAGCAAACAGAGTCACTGCATCCAAACAGAGTTTGCAGATAGGAATCAGTAGATTTTAAGAGTCAGGGGTACCTGGCTGGAGCCACAGAGTAATTGGGGTCAGCCAAGCTGGGAGGGTGTGGGAAAGTTTTTCTGGCAAAGGGATCACTAGGTATAGAAAGGTTCAAGCCCAGAAAAACAACTTGTGTGGGCAGTCTTAAATAGTTCTATGGGGAGAGGGTGATTTTAAGGGAATGTCAGGAGGCTGGGAAACTAAACGGCTTTTTATCACTACGTAAAGGGGTCAGACTCTCTCCTGAGGTTCGAAGGTAGCCTTTGAAGGCAGGAAAGTGATGTAATCTAATCTATCTTTCCGAGTAAGTATTTGACTGCTCTAGGAGACGGAGAAGGAAAGACTTCAGGGAGACTGCTTATGAGATCATTCCAGTCACTGAGGACAAAGATGTTATGCTGGTATCGTAATGACTTACCCTAATGGATAAGGGTATAGTAAAATGATAAGGAAGTGGATGCAGATCTCCAGGCTTGAGGAAAGGCATTAAAGGCAATGTGAAAGTTCAGGGATGGCCAACCACATCCTTTCAAATGTCACACATTTCCTAACCTGCAGATCTTGAAGATAGTAGCTTTGTTTCCACTTTCCCTTCTCATTATAATATCTCCATACCCTCAAGAATCCTAAACAGTTAAAAAAATTTAGCTAATTTGCACAAGCTATATGATTTCAATAGCAAAACCACATCTTAGCAACTTGTAAAAGAACTCATTTGATGAATTTGCCTTATCTTTATTTCCCCACACCGGTACTCAGAAATAGTTCATAACAAAGTTGGAGAACACTCAGAAACAGGAGGAAGAATGCTTGCATCACCGAGGAAATATTCACACTTCAGTGGAGGGCCAAATTGGTCAGAATTGGATTAAGGGAAAATAATCTCTCATGTCTTTTGATTAGCATTTGAAATGGTGTCATTGTTTTTCTTTGTGTCTTTAGCAGATTCATTTTTTTCATTTGGTCTGTAATGCAAGGTGGTTGCAGAAGTGCTTTCCCTTTATATAGGGGACTCAGTCCCTGCCAGTGGTTAAGATCTGAGCTCATGAAATGTCAGGTCCAGAGAGCCACAGATACTACAAAGTGGCTCCTTATCAAATTTAATGTGTGTCATGTTTTCTTTCTGAAATAATCATTGTTCTACTTTTTATTTTCAGGATGAACAAAAGCTACAGGAGAGTTTAAAGCAAGGCGCCGTCATAATTGCTGCTTTAATTAAAGAAAGAAATTCTGCGCTTCTTGGCCAGCTGCTGGTAGCATGAAGAACACAAGACAGAAAATCACCTTTTGGGCTTCTGAAACCATTTGCCTAAGTCTCTATTGCATTTCCTTCCCCACCCCACTCCCTCTTATTATATGTGGGAAAATGTTGAAGTTGTTATATATCTTATAATTATAGGGTGTGATGCTTAGATGATAAGAATAGATAAGAGTAGATCAGTGTTTGTGTCTGTTAAATTGGGTATGTCAAATACAAATTGCCTGAGAAGAGTAAGGAGGTGGACAGTAACTGCCTTCCCATAAAGAATCTTTTCATAAAGCTGAAAGTCAAATTGAAATAATAATGGTGAGCCATTCCTTCAAGAAATGAAAGTTTAGAAAACTTCAGCTATTATCTTAACTCTTTAATACATCACATTACAATAAGCTAATAAATAAGGTTCTAAAATGGTCCTCTCTCTATAGGATATTTTCTCTTTTTCTCTTGTGCTGGATTTTTCCAATCCTTAAAAAAACAATTCGTAGCAAAAAATGGAAATGCTTCAGATATTCTTACCGTTTGCCTCTCACTTCTCTAGATCCCTAAGGGAGATGTCATCTTTTGCTTTTCTGTTATTTTTTAAATTTTATGTTTTCCTTGGTTGATGAAGGTAATTTTGACTTACATTGTTTGAAAGAGTCTGAATATTTCTAAAGAGTCTAATTTTTAAATAAGTTTAAAAGATGCCTAGAGAGCTTCATAAGAATTCAGTTATTTGGTTGTCCCTGTTGTGGTCTTCTGTGAGGACTGGAATCCACAGTTCAGTGACTCTTGTGTTGTAGATACTGCTCCCTTGTCAAATCCAGTTCTTATTCTATCCAATTTCCATTTACACATACATCTTAGATATTAATATTTACCTTGAATTTAAATATGACTTGTATTTAGTCATTAAAGATGACCTTATTCTGTAAGTACATTTATTTCATAAAATAGATTATAGTGCATCACTCCAGGGCTTACCATGTATATGAAATTTGTAAAAGTTGCACCAATTCTTTTTGTTTAAAGAGGGACAATATAATATCTATCTTGTGGAATAATTCCTTAACATATTAAATGATTCTTCTCTATATTTCTCAAGTACTAATATAATAGAGTTTATATTTTACATTTAAGAAAAACAAGTAGCATATAATGAGTATGGAATAATTATTGCATTTCATTCTTCTAAGTGAAATGGGTTCTTTGAATGTAGGCTTGGATTTAACTTCCTGACTTCACCACTGTTACTCTCTCTAGGGATGCTAGGAAACATAAATCATTTAACTCAAATTCCTGAGGGTGAAAGAATGTGGGCAATATGTAGATTTTGGTTAGAATGTCTGCCTCTCTGTTGAGGTGGGCAGCTGCTCAGTAGAAGGCATTAGGGCAAATTCCACACACTGTGCTTGTTGAAATCTTCAGGCAAAAATGTTGTAAGACTTTGGAAGTGCTCATAAAAGCAGAAGGGGAAATGTAACTAAGGTTTTAAAGAGAGGGTGAATGACTTTAGCAAGAAGGCAGGAAACTCAGTACAGCTGTGGAACAGCAAAAACACTGTACTTCATCCATGGGATGTTAGCTGGGTCAGTGTAGATTTCAGGTTAACAAAGGTGTATTATAGTAAACAAGAATTCATCCTGGAGCAGTTAATGATCATGGAACTGAAAACAAGAGGAAGAAGACGATGAAGATGAAGAGGAGGAGGAAGAGGAGAAGGAAAAAACCCTCACAGTCTTCACTTTTTGGATGAGGAAATTGGGACTCTGGGATTGCATTTAACCTTCCCCAAGGTCATGGGGCTGTGTTGTAGCAACAGGCAGGGCCTTAACCTCAGGAAGACTTTATCTCTGTGTAACAGTGACTTCCAGCCAAGATATCCAAGAGAGAGGCTGTGAAATGGAAATCTGAAGCTCTAAGAAAACACAGAGGAATGGACTGAGAGGGAGGGGCAGTGTGTCCAGTGACCAGATGAAAATCCTAAAGCTTCTGACTTTCTAGCCACCTGTGCAACATGCAAACATCTATGGGCAGAGGTTAAGGGAATCGAGAAATTTATTGGCCAAGAGATAAAGATAAATTATTTTACTGTTTGTAAGAGATCCAGAAGTAACCTTACACTTATGCTTTTAATTACTGCTTTGCAAACTTAATGCCTTTAATAAAAAATATTCATTGTCACTGAATTTTCTTTAAAGTCCCTGGAGAAAGAATAATATTTATATCTCAAGGTTGAAATTGCTTCTGCTTTTGGCAAGTTTTTAGAAAGACTTTTATTTCTAAATTTATGCTACTTAGTTAAATACAGCTTAAAGTTATCTTTTCAGGAATTCAGCACTGAAGAGTGTGATCAATAACATATTGGTAAGAAGTAGTTTTTTTCTATTAAAGCACTCAGCTTTGTAGATGACATTGCAAGTATATTTATCTATGGATAAAAATCAGACTCATCTTTCAGGGTTCTTTGTTACTACAGTCATTTAAGTCATTTTGCATTGATTTCATTGGAAAATTATTTTATACTACTTTATTAAAACTACCAAATTTTATTTCGCACGTATAAATGTAGTAATTTATATAAAAGTCAAATTACAGAACATTTTCTTATATTAGAGAAAATATGGTCTTTCTATACAATGTCATACTCCTGTGCTGTAAGGAAGGATAAACTCGGGTCATTTGTAGGGAAATAGATTTACCTTGAGACTGTAATAATAAGTGAAATAAATCAGACACTCATGCTTAAATATCACATGGTTTCTTTTATATGACGCTCGAAGTCTAATAGGAATATAAATATGAATGAAAGGTAATGGGAATATAAATAATAGATAATAGGGAATAGGGAGATGGGTCCTTTTCAGATGTGAGGGCGACCAGCAGATGGAGAAGGGAAGAAAGGAGATGAAAAGGAACGAAGGTGTGTTATGTACATGAACCAGTTCCCCATGAAGAACATAGTCATTATGTACTGCAAACATGTACTAATAAAAGCTTTAAACAATAAATAAAAACCTGCAAATGTTATTGTTTTACTGGTGAAACTATTTGTGGATTCATAGAGCATAAATCATAACATTTTAATTAAAACACTAAGAAAACCATTTGGAAGAAGAAATACTGAAGTTATTTTAAAAGTTCAATTTGGAAATAAAGCAAATAAAAAATTGAAGTGATTTAGGGTTCGTTAGCATGGCTTAAAATGAATAAATTAGAAATGGCTGTGGAGGTAGTGTTTGGCATTGTATTATTTGTATATGACCTTGGTACATCTTAGTTACAAATTTGTGAAAATTATACATCTTTTTAAGATGAAAAAGAAACTATTAAGGGTTCTAAATATAGTCTCTTTAACCAAACAGTATATGAGTAATTGATAAATAGCTTAAAATTGATATATTTAAAAACTAATGGCATTTTCATTTATATTTAGAGCACATGTACATAGTTTTCAAACTCAAAATAGGAAGGGCTGGTTGTTGTTTTTTTGTTTGTTTGTTTGTTTGTTTTGGTACTGGGGATTGAACTCCGGTCCTTGAGCTTGCAAGGCAGGCCACCGAACTGCTGAGCTAAATCCCCAGCCAGGCTGGGTTTTTTTTTTTTTAACGTATGATTTACAAAATCTGATCTACATCTACATTCAGAATTATTTACCTGGATGTGCGCCTTCATTTTCCATTTTGTAAAACTGCATTCGAGTCCAGAAGCAAACGTTTCTCAAGGGCAGATCTAGTGATCATTTTGACCTGAGTGGAGACGTGACTGAAGATACCTCCTGGGGGCCAATCTTGCAAGATTTTCCAGTGGTCTGCAGTCTATCGTAATGGGGTTCTTTGGATAAGGTTTGCAAGTCTAGTAGGTGAACTGAATGAGGTTTCTGGAGCTTTGCCATTTGGAGCTGTCCATTATGTTCTTTGTTCTACCTCATTGTAAAGAGGGCTATGGAAACTGGTTGGTTTATTAGTTTGTCAGGTTTTTATGTATATGTATATGCGATTTTCCAGTGGTCTGCAGTCTATCGTAATGGGGTTCTTTGGATAAGGTTTGCAAGTCTAGTAGGTGAACTGAATGAGGTTTCTGGAGCTTTGCCATTTGGAGCTGTCCATTATGTTCTTTGTTCTACCTCATTGTAAAGAGGGCTATGGAAACTGGTTGGTTTATTAGTTTGTCAGGTTTTTATGTATATGTATATGCGCAGTGGACAACAAAACATCCCTTTGAGGAGGAGGAAATAGATGATAAAATCTGTGTTACTAAATTTCTTCAGTAGTTTGGAGGATTTTTTTTTCCATCCTGTGTGCTTTTAATACCCTGTGAAGTTCATAGTTCCTTTTTCTTTTCTTGTTTCAATAGAAAATGCATCTCTGTAATACCACCTAAGTTTTAAAAATGTATTATTGAACTGTCCAGTTCAGGAATTCAGTTGCCTATTTTACTGAATGTAGGTATGTGTGACTTGATGCTCAAAGAATGCCATTCAAAGACATTTCCGCCTGTTTGTTTCTTGAATCAGTTGCTGTTCACATAAATCTGGAAAGAAGCCAAAAAATGTAACTGAATTAAGAATTTTGAGGTTCCCACTGGGAGTATATATAAGTTCTGCCATAACTCCTCATGATAAATGTAATCATTATGTACTACAAACATACTAATACAAAATACATAATAAAAATAGCCTTAAATAAAGAACTTAAGTGCAACATTGTATGATTGCAGGGAGAAGCAACTATAGGATAAGTATTTTTGGCCTTGGTTTGGAAATCTTAACATTAAAAGTTTGAATGAATTATGCAGTTATATATAACACTACTTCCAAAACCTATGTATATTGCCTAAATGGTATTTTATTTTTATTTTACTACATTTTTTGCATAATAAAGCAACTATTCAATTCTGGAGCCACCCTTTAATACTTTAGCCCACTAAAATTTATAATATTAGATTATTTTTATCATTGGTAAAGAATTATTCTTTATATAACTGATGTCAGTGAAAACACTGAAAGACAACTTGAAAGATAGGGATTTATTTCTCCCTAGAGATTCCTTGATATACACACACTTTTCTTGGAACTGTCATTTTTGGCATATGAACTGAAATTTTTATTGGAAGAGGTAAGGGATAATCTGTTCCTTACAATGCTTTTTACGGAGTGGTAAAATTTAAATGTAAAGCTCCCTTTTCATAAATATAATCTAAAAGTTTAACATTACCAGTGTATTATCATTAATCTCTCTCCCCCTTCTCTCCTCTCTCTCTGTGTGTATTTGTGCGTGTGTGTATACATTTGTGCAGAGAAGGAAAACAAGTTCAGAGAAACAAGGAAATGTATTTTCATATGAAAATTTTCTTGAAAGTTCTAAAATGATTGCAGTGCTAGTTTATGCTTTGTGTGCATATCCAGCAAGAACTTCTAAAGGCTAGGTGTCTCTGATTTTGCAAAGTGGGGAAACAGAGAAAAAAATGCCAGATGTATGTACATGATAAATACATGTTTATACCTAATAATTGCATGTAATTAACATTACCTATTGGCAATGAAGTTTGAATACATCTCTAAGTGATTTATATCTGTTATGTTGGCAGCTTTACTAGTCCATTATCTAAAAATGAGATTACATTTTTACTTGTTTCAGTTTTAATCCTAAATTCTTACAATATGAGCCCACATGGTTTCTGCCAGAAACTAACCTGACTCATCGCATCCTCCCCAGCAATTTCCTGCTTGCTTCAGCAGTCCTTCTGTTTCTTGTGTTCTTCCTTTTTCATCTTGTCAACGCCTCTTTTGCTCGTGATCCCATGAAGAAGCCCCTCGGCTGGGCACTTTTCCTGGTCATGACTGCTGCTGTGTATTCCACTGGGAGGCACTGCCTTGGAGTCCGCAGAATCAGACTTGGCTGCTCTTCAGCTCACCTGTGCAGCCTGATCTCAGATGCATGCCGTTGATGGAAGTAGAGACTTGACTTTCCCTGATGCTGTGATAATCTTTCTGTTGTAACAGATACCTGTACTACCGCCAGAGAGAAGAAAATGTAGATTTGTCTCATACCACGCCTGTCTCCACTTGAACCCTTTCAGAGACTTTTGACCCCTGCATATTTGGCCCCAACTGCTCCTGAACTACAGAGCAGGCAGTGCCTATCCTTATCCACGACACCACGCAGAGGATTTGCCTTGTTTCTTCATCAAGATTAGATACTCCCCGAATAGATGATAGAACCATCAACCATTCCCTTTGAGAAGAATGTTCATGCGTCCAAGTTAAACACAAAATAGTGTGAATAACCACAGATTTCCCAAAAGGTAGATATTTTAACTTTAATTATAGTCAAGATTCTGATTTTTTAAAATGCAATTGAGAGATACATTTCAGGAGACTAGATACATTTGAGATTAAATTTTACCTAGAAACTCAAGTATGGGCAAAGTATACATGTAAAATACTTTAATAAAATTCAGTGATCTTTAGTATGGTAAAATAGTATCTTGTAGATAAGATCTTTAGTATGGTAAAACAGTGCCTTGGAGACAAACTGGTTATTTCACAATAATTGCCATTCAGTTAGAGTTTACTCTGGGCCAATTTTTGCCTCTTATGTGATATAACTTTCTGGAAGACTCACGGTGATTCGTGCGTCACAGCAGAACCCAAGGCTCAGAGACCTCAGTGAAAAAGTGGAGATCACACAGCCAGTGAATGGCACAACTGGTATCCGAAGCCCGCTTGTTGCATTCCTTCTGTCCCGCATCTTGCCTATTAGAATGAACAGTGATCTTCAGTAACAGTAGGAGCATCATAGATAGAGTGATAGAGATATTTAAAGTGTACTTACTTAATTTTGTTCCAGGTTTTTGTCTGTTTCATTCTCCTGTGCACTCCAGAGCGAATGGCAGAGTCAGTCATTTGCAGTGGATGTGTATCGCTTGGCCATTAAGCTGTCAGTTGTGTAGCAGACCGAATTCTGGTCCCTAATTATTTATTGAGAATCTTTTATGATCAAGAACTTGTTCCTATGGGAATTGTACTAGACAAAAGGTAGGATTCCTGTTCTTGACACATTTTCTGCCAATATGAAAAAGGCACATGGATATTATTACAGTGGACATCGAGGCATCTCTGATAGTGCTATTTCAGAGGAGAAAACCTTCCAGCCTGTGCTATGGAGAGAAAGCTGTCTGTAGCCTTAGTATTTGAGATTTGCCTTAGGCTTCTATTAAATTCTGTCCCTAAATTTTTCTATAGGGCTGCATGTGCTTCTTTGGGGTTTGTGGGGTTCATACAGTGCTGGTGGTGCTTATTATATATCGAAGTGTTCGCCTTATATTCCTTTGTTTGCTTTTAAGATGTAATCTCTGTGAGACTATTAAATTTTGGCCACCTGCCAACCATCCTTTCAAGTGTAAAATGTAGTTCCAATCCAGTAGCATTATCAACGGTGCTTAAAGTAAGCCTTTATCTGCTGGGATATAAATTCTTGAAAAATTTATAGGCTGGTTTAAAAAAGGAGACAGATTATATAAATCAAGTGATATTTAATAATCCATTGATAAAATATGTGCTAGAACCTCAATTTATAAATTCATGTGTCCAGCTATACCTATTTTTAAAAAATCAGTTTATCCTTGGTTTTAAGCCTCAATCCTATGGATTAGAACAAATTTGGTAGGATTAGTCATGACAGGTTTGTCTCTTTCCCTTTTGCCTGACTATCCCTGTTTCTTTGGCTGTCCTTAAATGTG